ATATATATATATATATATATATATATATATATATATATATATATATATATATATATATATATATATATATATATATATATATATATATATATATATATATATATATATATATATATATATATATATATATATATATATATATATATATATATATATATATATATATGCATGTTCGGCGTTAGTTAACTTCCAATTTAAATTTAAATAGAAAGTTAACTAACGCGGAACATGCTGTGATTTTCAACAATAATTTCATTTCTAACAATATTTGAATTTCATAATGGACCACTTACGTCATCAAGTGATGAAATAGCTGTGGTTGCTGTTGTTTTCGCCGAGCTCAGTGTTTTATCACTACCTGTGTTTTTCAATTTTTTGTCTTCTGCCTGAATGCGTTAAGAGCGTATGTTTTAATTGTTTGTGAAGCGTGATGGCCTAGTGGTTAAAGACGCCTGGTCCTTCTCGCAGTGCGCGTTAGTGACCGAATTCAAATATGGAGGTGGAAGCCCCACCTATCAAGTGCTTTGTGTGTGAGGCGTCGTTTAGAACGAATTCATACATGCTGTTTGTTTGTGTGTTGCTGATTCATCTGAGTTTTAGTAAACATGAATTGATCTTTAACTTTTTCCCTGTTTAATGCAACGTACCACACTGAGGTCAATGTCACAGTAAATACAAGTGGCTCTAGTAATTATAGTTGTAGTACGCAAACATGTAAAACAATTATGATAGTTACAAGAATGCAAAAAAATGTGGCAGACAGAGATCTTATTGTGTTCAAACCCTAGTCACTGAAAAATGACCAGACGTCTTAACCATTAGTTACCTTTTTAGATTTTTTGTTTTTTGCCATCTTCCATCTTTCCAACTCATCTATTTCTTCTTTTATGTTCTCCAATTCCTCAGCCACAATGTTTTCTTTCTCCTGAAATGAATGACTATAAAGTCATAATGAAGACTCGGAAAAATAAAATGATGGCGCTGTGGATAATGGTGATGATAATTTAATAAAAAGCATTTATTAAATAATTTAATCAAATAAAAGAAAATAAATTTAAACTTGCTTCCATTAATTTGATCTTCATTTTAAAATCCATCGTTGTCGTCTGTACAATTACATTTACATTCAATTAATTATTTTAATTTGTTCCCATTTAAAATTCATCCAATCGTTATATTATTTTAAGAACAATTTACTTTGTGACCAAAATCAAATTTCCTTTCACACATGAAATTAAAAATTATATTTGGCAACTTTGAAAAATTGTATTTGCTAAATTAATGAATGCGTGAATATTGTAAATAAAACCAGAGTTAGTAATTGGCAGAATCTGGCATCCGAGCCATAGATGTCATTTAAAATTAATATTTTACTACATTATTTAACCTTTCTTTTGAGTTTTTCAGCAGTTGACTTTCTCTTTAGCTTCAATTTATTCAAAGGCCTAAAAACTCGTTTCCCAGTAGCAACTGTTTTTATTAGTTTTTTAGTAGTGACAAGAATTGTAGTTTTGATGGTAGTTGTGGTTGCTCTCGTTGACGATGAGGTCAAGCTAGTGCCGTCGTCATCGTAATAATATTCGTATTCGTATTGGTTAGGAAGAGTTGCTTTTGTGTTCGTGTTGGCATTTGCGCTTGCAAGCAATAATTTTGAGACGTAGGTCATTGTGAAAACGCTTTCAGCAGTATTAAATGTTGTTGAAATAGTAGCAGCAGTATTACTAGTAGTTGTTGTATAAGTAGGGGTGGTAGTTAATGTAGTAGCAGCAGCAGACGTATCAGTTGTGGCTTTCGTTTCATCATCATCGTCATAATATTCATATTCAGGATTCGAAAGATTGACTTTGTTTTTAAGAGTTATTGCAGCCGAAACTATGTTTGTGTTTTTTCTAAGAGCAATCATTTCATTTGAAATATCGGATGCAATTGTATTTTGACTACTCGAAACATCATTTGCAAGCTTAGCTCTATAATTCATCGGAATATTTCTCTTGAAAACCATGTTTTTTTTCATCTAAATATAATATTTTTAATTTTTTGAAACAAATTCATAACAACAGCCAGAAATAATTTTTAAATTTTTATATAAATAGATTTTAAATTGATAAGAAAAACCACAACAACATAAACAGCTGTAGGGTGGATGAAAATTTTCAATGGCGGCTTTGAAGCTTTGCAAAGATTTTTCATCAAGTGATACTATTATTTCCAGTGATAATAGTAACCTTACTCTTCTTCTTGCTTTTGACTTTTCCTCTGCTTTTGATACTGTTGATCATACTTTTCTCTTGAGGCTGCAAGATCATTTTGTTAATATTACTAATTCTTGTCTATCTTAGTTTTTTTCTTATCTCTCTAATCGCTTTTCTTCAGATGTTCTTAATTAATTCTACTTCAAACTTCTCTACACTTACTTTTGGGGTACCTCAGGGTTCTATTCTTGGCCATCTTCTATTTATACTCTATACTTCTAAACTAATATACCTCGTATTATTATTTTTTCTAAACTAATATACCTCGTATTATTATTTTTTTTCACTAGTCAACTATATACTGATGATTCTTATATTTATACATCTTTTTCTTTATATAATCTCAATAGTGTTCTTTATAATCTATCCGTATGTCTTTTTTTAATTATCGCATGGTATGACTCAATGTGTGTTAAACTTAATTTTTATAAATTTAAATTTATTTGTTTTAGTAAATCTAAACGCTCTATTACTATTCCTCCTCTTATCTTATCTGATTCTAAAACTCTTGATGTATCTCATAAGTTTCATAGTCTAAGCTTTAACTTTGATTCTAGCATGTCTCTTTCTTTTTAGAATAATTGCTTTGCTAGAAGTTCTTATTTTCATCTACGTAGAATAAAAAAAACTGTTGCTTTTTCTTTATGATCCTTTTCTTCACCTTCTTGTTACTTTTTTACTTTTATCTAGGATTGATTATTGTAACTCACTCTACAATGGTCTTCCTGATTCTACACTCCATCTTTTAAATAAAGTTTTTACCTCTACTGCTCGTCTAGTTGCTCGTGCCCCTTTCTTTTCTCGTATATCTCCATATTTTGTTCTCTTGCACTGGCTACCTATAAATTATAGAATAATTTTTAAAATTTGCTCATTTATGTATAAGCTTCAATCTAAATTATTTCCTAAGTACTTATCAGTTCATTAATTGAACCTAAACGCCCAGGTTTACGGTCGTCTTCTTATTCTCACTTATTTTAGCCAGTGTTTAACATTCTTTAGCTAAATATGCATTTGCTTTTTCTAGACCTTTCCTCTGAACCTTTTCTCTGGAATTCTCTATTTCCTTTTCTGTCTTCTTCTCCATCACTTACGAAGTTCAGAGCGGATCTCAATATTCATCTTTATGCAAAATTCATTGAGGAACTCAGTTGAACATTGCGGAAATAGCGCTTTATAAATTAATTGATTAATTGATCAAATTACTTTTTTTATTTTTTGCTTTGCAACAATTTATACAAATAAAATTATTTTACATACATTTTTTTCAGAAATGTTCCAAAACATTGGCTAAGTTTCAATACACCAGATTAAATTAAAATATAATAAAATGAACTTTCCCACTTTTTTGTTTTCAGGAGTTGAGGAAAGTTTACTTTCCACGGTTTGTTTCTCTAAAAATGTCGACATAACGCTCAGTGCCGGTGCTATAAATTTTTTTATCTCATTATTGCTAACGAAGGCGATATCATTTGTATTGTCATTGCTATCATAGGTTCCAATGGCTGTAATAATTCCATTACGATCGTTATTTACCTCATCATCAAAAGCATCGGTAGGGTTTTTAGATTTATATAATCTGTCATTAACTTCATGTTGTATATAAAAAACTGTGTCATTTAAATTTTTATTATTGTTCAGTTTAGGAAATTGCAAAAAAATGTTATCGTTTATTTTGATTTTGTCACGATAATAATTGTTGGTTGTATTGTGATCCTTTTTAATTTTATAATCAACATCTGAGACGTGCTTCTGATATGGACCCCGAGATTTCTCAATGTTCAAGTCAACTAACCTTGCAAAGTGAGAGAATGTTACCGCCCACATGATCATTGTCGATAAGTAAGTTCTTGTTCGATTTGGATGAAAAGTTTTCATGGGACGAACATCAGTTCATTCAAAGTAATGTGTTTAAATAAATTTATGTTAATTTTTGGTTGAAGCAATCATGAAAGTACATTTTTAAATTAAGCGATAATTCGTCTGTTGTAATTTATTTTATTTATCAATTTTGTACCATTTCGTGTCAAATTAAACAAATTATACACGTTTATATCCCATGCTTTAAAAATTCAACTGTTTAATTTTTGTAAATATTTATTTTCCGTAAAATGAAAGCATGAAACGTTTGAAATGCTTGCAAGCAGATCGTGCATAGACATTTCGTTGAAATATTCAACTAATTATTATAAGTTAAAAATGATACGGCAATGATCAAATACAGGGATGATGAGATTGACAAATTAGAGGAATGATTTAATTTTTTCTCATGAGAATTAATAATTAAAAAAAATAATATTAAATTAAATAGTAATAATGGTAGAGGTAATAATATTAGTGGTAGCAGCAGCAGCCGCGGCGGCGGCTGTAGTAGTAGTAGTAGTAGAAGTAGTAATATTAGTAGTAGTAGTAGTATAGTAGTTGTAGTAGTAGTAGTGGTGGTGGTTACGTCCTTCTTCTTCTTCCTCTTCTTTTTCTTCTTCTTTAATTTCTTTTACTTCTTTTCTTCTTTTATTTATTATTAATTAAATAATATTATTATTATTAGTAGTAACGATGATGTTGACATTGTTGTCAAGGCGAAAAGATTATAAGCGATGGAATTATGTGAATGTATGAAAGGAATAAATAAATATTTACAAATAAGCAACAATATGAAATAAGAACAACAATTCTCTTTGAAAATGAAGTACTAAAATTTATAGTAAAATCATAATTAGATTAATTGGTTTGTTGTAAATAAGTGAATCAGTCTCTGGACCGCAAGATGTACTGAGCGATAGGCCGCATCACGTAGTTGCAGAAGACGAACGTTGATTCAACTAGGAATAAAAATCTTTGCGGATTTTAAACTTAAAATGAAATTTTATATGTAAATTTTATCTAATAAAACTTATTTACAATTAAAAGTTACAATTTGAAATAAAAATTATTGGAATAAATTAAACCTAAAACAGAAAAATAGTAATTAAGGTTAATTTCTCCATTTGCATATCAGTCTTCTAGGGACCAACTAACCGATGACCATTGTTCGGCCAACCAACCAAACTACCAACCTACCTACCAACCGATCTACCAACCTACCAGCCAACCTATCAGCCAACCTACCAACCTACCTACCAACCTACCTACCAACCTACCAACCAACCTACCAACCTACCAACCAACCTACCAGCCAGCCTACCAGCCAACCTACCACCAAAGAGCCACCCAAACAAAACCCAAATAATTAAAAAAATTAACGTCTAAGTTAATCATTTAAAAAAAAGCCAGTCAATTATGCAAGCATTCCATTCATAAAATACTTTTAATGAACCAACTTGTAAAGCTTATAGAGCTCTTCATGATTGTTGATGGAGATGATGACGGAGGAAATGAGAGTGATGATGGAGATGATGGTGAGAGCGTAGAATCCTGTCTTGTCTTCAAAGTTATTTATGAAATAAACAATCTGCGTGATGAAAAATTATAAAACTCGTCATTAAATTTTATGGATTCAGTTATTGAGTGAGTTGCATTGATTGCAATCCCGGTTGTTATTAAACCACGTTTGATTTGTAGCACAGGTAACTATTTAGAGGTACAATTATTACTTGTAACCACTGCAGCAGTTACATTCAGATTAAAACTTCTCAAGTATGGTCTACCAACCTGCTTTGAAACTTTCATGTTCACCAGAAAAAACTGCAAAGTAATGAATTGTTTTTATTTATTTTTATATTTGCAAAACATGTTCCTCTATTTGGGTAGATAGGCAAACTTTTGGCTCTGAGGGCCGCATATATATGTATTTATTAATATAAATATAAAATTTTTCAAACGTTTAACATGGGGGCGGGGATTTTCTAAAATGTTGAAATGTTGACCGGGGGAGCAATATTTTTGGCTGACGACCTTTCTATACTTTTTGCCTATAAATGTAATTTTTCATTTTTTCGTCAAAATACGTACAAGGCTTGTTGGGCCGCATGCAGCTGCTGGCCGAAGTTTGCCCACCTCCTCTGCTCTATATAATTGAATCAACGTTGAAAATCGTTGTTATCATCCACCTCATCATTATCATTAATAACAATAATAATAACATCATCATCATCAGGATTATTAACAACAAAAACGTTATCATCAACATCATTGGTTGAAGATATGAAGAACATAATAAAACGTAATATAGATAATATATCTGTAGCATTGTAAGTGGTTCTGGGTATGTCAGAGCTGCAATAATAAAGACTTATAAAAAAAAACGTCATCATCCACATCATCATCCACATCATCATCCACTTCATCATCCACATCATCATCCACATAATATACCAAAGTCATAATCATCAACGTCACCCTCAACATGATAAGGATGTTGATGATGTTGTTGTTGCTGTTGTTGTTAATGATGATGATGATGATAATGATGATGATGGTTTTAATGATGATGATGTTGATGAAGATGTTATGATGGTAGTGATGATGATGATGAGGAGGAAGATATGATGTTGGTGATAAAAATTTTAATAACGTTAATGATGGTGTAGAAGATGATGATGTTGTAGTAAATGATGAAGTTGATGATGACATAGGTGATGATGATGATGATAATATCGTTTGTGGTGATGATGTTTTAAACGATGATGATTCAACGTTATCAAAGTTTTAGCAATAACTACCACCTTCCCTACAACCACCACCACCATCACTATACCCACCACAACAACTACAACCATCATCATCATCATCATTATTATCATTATCACCTTTTGAATAGAATCCAGATGACGAAAGTCCTAAAATGTTAATATGAATAATTATTCCAATTCAGTAATTTATTTGAGAAACTGAGAAAGAATCAAATTTAATGAAATAAATGTTTTCAAATAGTGTTTATTTCACCATCCAAATCATCATCACCATCATCATTATCATCATCACCACCACCACCATCATCATCATCATCATCACCACCACCATCATTATCAACATATATCATCATCACAACCATCACCACCATCATCATCATTACTTTATCATTTTCATCAAAATCATCATGAATCGAATTCTTGTGTGGTGGTGTTGGGGCCTGCTGCTTCTCAAGTTCAATGACTTTTTTTCGTTTGGTTTTAATTGCTTTTTTTAGCGTTGTTGTTCGGATAACTTTTTTCGATTTAATCGTCGTTGGTAGAGTTTTTTTTATTATGTTGGTTGGTTTTAATTTAATTTTTGTCGGTAGAGTTGTTGTCGTTGTTGCCATGTTTTTTTTTAGTTCAGTTGCTGTTGGGACGGTTTTTGCCGTTGATTCGTAAGCCTTTTTTAACTCAGCCGTCGCAGGTTGCATTTTGGTTGTGGCAACTTTTTTGGTTCGAATTTTTCTACGCAACTTATTTGTTTGAACCCTTTTTATTGTCGATTTCTTTCTTGGAATCATTTTTCCTGAAGTTGTTATTAACGAAGTTGATATTGTTGTCGTTGTCGATGTTGACGTTTTTGTCGTTGTTGATGTTGTTGTTGTTGCAGATTTGGATGATGATTTAAACAGACCTGAATTATTTTTTTCAGTTAGACGTGCTGGTTTCTTTTTAAAAGTCGCTGGTGTTTTTCTTGTTGCGATCTTTGAACTAAAAACGTCGGTTTTAATTTTTGTATCAGTCAAAGCTGTTGTTGTCGCGATGACGTCACTGCCGTTTAGCAAGCCTCGATTCTGCCTGAACAATGGTCTGTCATTTTTGAACATCGTTGCAATAATTTTCATTGTTTGTTTTCTGTTGGTAGTGACAATTTTGGGTTTGCTGCCTGTGAGGAAAGATTTATTCCTGGACGAGTTTAATTTATTTTTAAAAATCGTGTAGTTTGTTTTTATTAAACCTTTATTAACTTTAAAGATTGTGATGTATTTTTTTGGAAACGTCGAGTTTTTTTGTAACGAAGGTGAATTTTTCAATGACTTCAATTTCTTTGATGCACCTCTCAGTCTTGTTGCATTTTTGACGCGTTGCTGATTGAGATTTAAATAAAAATATCAGTAAATAAATAAATTACTTGAACATAAAAATATGAAAACTAACTACGTAAACAAAACTTTAATAAAAATATGTTTAAATATATACTTCAAAATAACTTTACTGAATTTCTTCAACAAAATAATTTGATAAATCTGTGATAGGATTTCATCAACAAAACACGAACCCTCAAATATTCGAGATCAAGAAGATCATCCAAGTGTTTCGAAATGGAATTGCCTTCTGTTATATTTGAGGATGCTATCAGCAAGAGAATCCAGCTTATTAGAAGGATGGTGAACGACTTTTTGGAAAGGAGCAAAATGCTTTTGCTGCCAATCCTGTTGACGGTGTGGATGCTTATAAGGTCATTTGTGGGACGCATTGTGATTAGTCTTCCTCGCTTAGCAAGAACCTTCAATATTGTGATTTTCACTGTTAGATCTTTACTATATGGTCTGCCTTTCATACATATTTCAGCTCCATGTAAACACGTTAACAGAATTATCCGAAAAAATTGTCATTAGCCGTAACTACGTTCAACAATCGAATCATAAAGACAGATATGTAGTTCTTATGTCTCCAACATTTCTTAATAGAAGGTCTGATGCTTAATTTTCGAAAAGAATAGATTATTAGTTGTGTTGATATTTTTATAAGTTAATTAAATCTAGTAAAAATAATTAAACAAAATTAAATTGTGAAAAAACAGTTTTTAGTTACCTAATAATTTTTTTGGTCTTGGTTGAAAACGTGAACAAAATAACCACCTGATAAATTTATGGAGGGTCTTGTTCACTCGAACACAAATAAAAATTTTTTTGAGAGCTTTAACGTGAATTAGAAATTAATTATATAATCGATTCAATAACATTAACAAATAATTATAACATTATTAACTAATTACAACGTTACGAATAATGAATTGAATGTAATGATATGAAATAATTAACAAGCGAGAAGCAGATGAGATTGTTTATTTATTTGTATGTGATCGTTTGACGTAGCCATAAATTCTTATTAAATAATTAATTTCATAAAAATGCATATTACTAAAAAATTGAATAAATAATTAAATAAATTAATTAATAAATAAGTTAAATAATAAAAAAAGATAACTTAAATAAATAAACAACGAAATATTGTATAAATAAATAATTTTGTTATGCTAAATTTGAAATATTTCCACGTTTGTTTGATAAACAATTTGCAATAAACTCGGTGCATCGGATGTCTTGGCTTATTAATTAATCATAAGCATTCTATTGTATCATTAAGCAAATGTTATCGTTAAAAAATTTTGATAGAGTACATTTTAAATCGAATCTTCAACTCGCTTTCACATTAGCTGCTCTATATTCCAATTACGTTTGTTAGTGAAATTGATTATCTTCAAACTTTTTTGTACATGCTCAAACCCTTTGAAAAGGTTTAGTTTTCTTCATAGGTATCTCATTTGTAAAAATTGGAAGTTTATTTCCTTCAATATAATGAAATTTAGGTATATCATTTGTAGAAAGTTGAATTTTATTTACCAGTTTTTATCGCTAGTCGATAGTACAGCCTTTGTGGGAGAAAGTTTAATTATGTACGAAACGACGTGCAAAAGTTGGTTCTGCGTTCGACTGAACTGCTTAAAAAAACAATAAGTTATTTAAATATTAGAAAATTCTTACTTTTAAAACATGAATCAGTATTTCAAGATCTAGGAATTTAGTCGATGGCGGAAAAGCCGAATAGTTGATACAAAATTTGGCCGAAGCCTGAGGCCAAGTACCAAAGAAACTCTAATTTTGAAATTGTTCCTATTCATTTAAATGAAAAACAAGCTATTAAAAAATTATTTATTTTGATTTAATTCTTTATCGAAATAAAATTCAATCTCTTGTTCAATTTCTATTTTTTAAAGAGTTATGATGCCAAAAATTAATTTTTCGTTAATAATAATCAACAGTTATTGTTCTAGAAGCCAAAAATAATGGCAGATAGAACGGAACTTGCAACATTTGGCTATTCTGTTTTTAAAAAAATGGCTGAAGCCTTGTTCGAACCCTAAATTTTGACCAAATATTTGACTAAGTCGAGTGTTCAGTGCGTCTATACGTTAATTTTTTGGATTTGTTTTTGGCCTTTTAAACAAAAGTTGTTAAAATTATTTTACAGTTTTAAAAAAATGTTAAAAAAAACAAACGTATGAAATGGTGCCTGTACAAAGTTATTATTCAAAATATGTTCATGGGATTAATTTTAATAATGCAAATTAATATCATGCAAAGTAATTTTATGTAAAATAATTCAATGCAAAATAATTTTATGTAAATTAATTTTAGACAAAATAATTTTATGTCAAATAATTTTAAGACCATTGGTTACGTTGAAAAAAAGAGCAAGACAGAATAGAATGGCTGATCAGTAAGGGAATAGTGAAGCTTAGTGAGTGCCAGGTACTGTTTTGCAGTTTCCTGGCTCGAATTCAGTCGATTCCCCATTTATCACGGGTTTTAAGTCAGGGCATCGAACGGTAATTTTTTTTGTTTCGGTTTACGGTTTCGGTTCAATCAGCAAAACGAATTTCGGTTCGATTCAGGTTTTCGTTCCTGAAATAATATCTTTTTTTTTGTTTTCACTCCGAAACTTAATTTTTTCAAGAATAGTTTCTTAAACGCATGTAACGGACATACGGACATCTAATTATCACCACTAAGCCAATTTGAATTAAATTTTAGATTGTGAATAATAATAAATCAATAACAAAAATGATTTTTAAATGTTGTCAGTATAAAAAGAAACGTTTCTAATAATTTTTTTCAACAAATTAAAACAATCATTGCAAAAATATTTTAAAATCACTAATATAAACATAAGATTGTTTAAAAAAAAAATGAAAATTTTCTCTGATTATTAATATATCATCTAAAATGTTTTCATTGAAACCACTTCTACAGTTTCTGAGGATAAATTTTAATCCAGAAACAGATGCTTCCAGACTCACTTGTGTAGCTGGTACTTCAAAATTTTGAAGATGATCGCACTTGATCTCTAATTTCTCCGATTAAACTGGATTTCTTTTCACGTGGCAATTCTTACTCAATTAATCGGCGAACTCAGTCGGAAAAACAAACGAAAAGAGAGATAACAAATTTTCAAAGAAAATAAAAATAAACATAAATTTTAAAAGACGAAATATTATCTAAATTTTTTTTTCTGAATTAGACAAAAATATTTTTTTTTAAATTTTTAGCGTCGAACCGTTATTTATTTTGTTACGGTTTTCGGTTTCGGTTAAACTAGCAAAACTAGTTTCGGTTCGGTTACGGTTTTTGTTCCGAGCAAAATCTCGGTTTTTAACGGTTTTCGGTTACGGTTCAGTTCCGGTTCGATGCCCTGGTTTAAGTTCATGATGTGGTACTTAACATGCACATGTGTATCTGTACAGTTGTGTTGCGTATAGCTGTGATAGATCTAAAGTTTAGATAACACCGAACGCTGCAGAGGCAAAGCTGTATAGATGAAATGAATTTTAAAGTTATTTTTCAGTTTGTAAACATTTTTCAAAACGTTTTTTCAGAAACCACATCTACACACGCAAATTTAAACTACACAAACATCCTACTTAATACAATTTTTTTTAGTATTCTTAATAATGCAGTCCTGTCAGACGCAGAGCCTCTCACACGTCGATCGATATTTGTTATGATGGCTTTTTTGTCGGCTGAACTTTCATCAATAATGTCGGTTTATACGTAGTTATTGCTACACCCTCCGTAAATCTTATTAAAATAATAAAATAAAATAAATTATTATTTAAATTTATTTGAAAATTATTTTGTTTCCATGACAGTTTTAAGTGCAACTCAGAAGAATGACATGAGTTACGACGATGTTGAATGTTAGCTCGGTGGTGGTTCAACGACGACAATCAACTCCACTCAATAAAAATATTTTTCTGTCTAAACATCTCAGCATCTGCAATCTTTTCATTTCTGCTTTCAAAATGAAACCTACATTACCTGCAACACAATTCATTTTTTTTTGTTTCAACTACTTAGATTATTTAAATCGACATTACAATCATTATAAAATTTCCTCATCATATTATCATTGTGTTTACTATTCCAATTTCAAAGAAACCTACATTGTCTTATTACAATGAGGCTAATTTTATATTTTATTTTATATTACAATTTTTAGAGGCGTCAACAAGAGACACACAATATACATGAATATACAACTCAACCGCGTCACGTTCACTGCATGTGATCGGCAGGGATGTTCTTGCATTTGAACCCAATCACTTTAACAACAGTGCAACGCACCTCACCAGTCCTACATTTGCACCACCCAAATAATATATTATAATTATAATAATAATTATTACCGTTATATTTATCAAATTAACTATCTCCGCCATGCATGCAACCAAACAAAAAACAAAACAGTTAAACAAAACAAAAAATGCAGGCAAGCAAGCAAACAAACAAACACACAAACTAACAGACAGACAAACAGACATACAAACAGACAGACAGACAGAGAAGTAGACAAACAAACAGCTAACGGACAGACAAATATTCATCGTCGAGACAGGGTGGTTCGTGAGAGTCAACAAATTGCAGACGGACATTTACTTGGACGATGTCCTGGTCCTCACTTTTAACGACGAGCGTATTCATGCCATCGCAGTGGACACGGACACAAAAATCCTGACCATCGAGGTGCACAGCAAGTGGGGAATTCATGTCGAGGCCTGGTCACTCAACAACCTCTACAACCTCGACGAACGGTCAGCCATTATAAGACACGGCGACCCGATACTTTCTTTTCTTATTTAGTATCTTTCGGCCTCAACCTAGCGAGCTACTTTGTTTATTTATTATTAATATTATTATTTTATTTATCAATTATTATTATTATTTAACTTATCATTTTTTAATTCGGTTTGTTTTATCTTTCATTATTATCATCATTATCATTATCATCATCACCATCATCATTTTCTTCTCATCATCATCACTACCATCATCATAATTACTACCATCATCATCGTCGTCGTCGTCATTTTCCTAATCATCATTATCATCATTACTCCCATTATTTCACCATCTTCATCACCGCCACTAATATTATCTTGATCACATCTGAAGATAGCTCAATAGAAATCTACAATGCAATGCAACATCATCGTCCATCACCCTTCTTACGACCACCATCTTTCCAGTTGGTTCTTTGCAGAAAAGGACACGGGCAACTACACCAACTACAGACGATTCGGCCAGCACGTCGCCGTTGAGGTCAACCTCGAGGAGGAGAAGCAGATCAAGTCATCCCTGAAACCCGCAACTAAGGCGGTTGACTACACCATGCGTTCGTCAGCTAGATAGAAATGATGATGATGATGATGATGATGATGACTAAAAACGATGAAGATGCCAGCGACATGATCATGCTGATGAATGATGATGAAGATGACGATAAAAATTTAAATGATGCACGTGTGACGGTCACTGTTGCTCCGATGTCCCTTTTAATGGCGTTATGACTTTATGAAGACATATTCCTTCTTTCAACGTAACTATCCCTCCTAGCTCCCTTCAAAAGGCTCCAAAGTCTGCAGCACCTGGATCGAGAGATGGAATACACGCACGGGGAGGGGGGCATGTTAGATGGGGCCAGCAGCAATTTCCACAAACTCGTCCTCTTCCTCAATGTCTACGGTTCTATTGTTTATTTCTTGGCTGAAAAAATTGTGATCATCAACAGTTGAAACTAAATTAATGAGCAGCAGTTATGAATTAAATTTATTTCATGCCTTTGGAAATTCAGTTTTGTTGAAAAATAAGCAAACGATTGGTTTTGATTGTAATATTTTAATAAGAAAAAAATAAAAAAAACAAGCAAAAAATTGAATTAGAATGACGCAAAATAAATCTGCATCCACAGACACGGAATAAATGTGCACCATACACACACACGCACGCACGCACGCACACACACACACGCACACGCATACATACACACACACACGTGTTAGCTCACATGTGTCATAACACGTGCAGTTGGAAGTACTGCCACCATTGAACAGTTTTGCCTTGCGAAACTGATGAATTATCAGGCGCTTCGTTGCCTAGGAAGTCTTCGTAACTAGGAACGTTGATTGCAACTTGGTAGGGAGATGCATTCAAGCAGCTTCAACATCTTCAACTGAGCAAATAATATTTGAATCTAAATTAATACATCTTGCATTATTTCGATTAACGTTACAATCAATTTATTCAGAGTATCCACCAGTGTGGCAAAGATATGAATATCGTGAGAATTATTTTCAAATAAATCAAGATTTTCTTAACTTTATAAAAATTGTAACTGCACGTTTATTTTTGAAATATTTATTTTTTATTCATCTGTTATTTTTGATGATATTTTCCCACTTCAAACCACTCCTCAGTCTTCGTGTTTGTTGCAAAGGGAGATATAGACGGCTTCTACATAAACGGAGAAAAGGCTTTCGATGCATTTCAAAAAAATCGCGTTAGAAATTGTTGTCCAGTTTGGTTAATTTAACAAAAAAAAACTTCGCCCAAATTTTTATTTTTATAAAATTTGTCATTGAAGCCATATATTCTTGTCATTGTTTATTTTAAATCATAAAAACGGTGAGATGGCAAATGATGTAACGACGACTGCGATGGTCCTGCTGTTGCTGTGACTGGGTTCGAATGCAGGGAGATCCTCGCCTCCCACCACGTGCAATCTGTCTTCAGGGCCGATTCATGCGTCTTCCCGCTCGCCGAGTGTGTCGGTTGTTGATACCTCAGAGGATTAACAATACAAAAATTATAATAATATTAATGAAAATTGTTATGCCATCTTTGTCCATTTTATTTTATTTCGTTTTTGTTTTTTTACTTCATAGCTGTTTGCTTTGCAAGTGTTAGGTTGAGTGCTGTAGAATCTTTAGAAATCTGGCTATATCAATTTAATTGATTGATTGATTGATTGAATAATAATAAATGCTGTTTTAAAATGTCATTTTGATTGCCTTGGTGAACTTAAATTATAAACGATGCTTTAATAATCTTCAAACCGTTGCACATGTTTTTAAAATATTCGATAAATAAACTGAACATGCTGCAATGAAATTTGAGTAACGGAGGATTTGTATAATTTATACATTTAAAATTGTTCGACTGCAACGCACACGTTCAACGAATTCGTGCAAACCGACCAACAGGTGGTTTACAAGTACGTACCTGTCTACTCAGAGACGATCGGCGTGCACATGAAGGGGGCCTGCCGGATAGCCCTCTACAGCACCTACTCCTACCTTAGCTCCAGTACCAGCTGGAAGTCAATCGTTTCTATTCATTTTTATTTCATTACACTGCAGAAGTCTGCCATTTATTAATTGGGCAACTTTTATAAAAACCACATTTTATCCAATTTACCCTTCCTGATTTCTGGCAGTATTTTTATTATATTTTCAGGTAGCAAGACAAAATTTACTTAAAGAATTGAAATTCCAACATTACTAACAACTTAACAACAATTATTATTAATAACTTAATTATTGTTTTTGATTAATAATGATGCTTTGAAAATTATTGAAAATATTTGAAAACAGATGCACGAACGCTCCGCAAGAAGTTGATTTCTTTCAGCCGTTCAACGAAAATTTGACTCGCTCGCTGCCCAGAGCGAAGATGTTTGGATACGCCACGGATTACGATAACATACCACAAGATGCTCAGTACATTGGCATGGACGCAAACGAGTGCTGGTGCCGGCTGGCACTGCATGGTTGGCTGCCTTCAATGCTTCGTTGCTTTGTTCTGCAGGCAACGTTCGATTGATTTTCTGTATGATTGTTGATCGATGGATCAATAGATGAATGAATGAATGAATAAAAAAATTATTAAATTAATTAATCAACCAATGTTTGCTAACTTGACTAATCAGTTGCTAAGTAGCATCGATTGATCAGTTGCTAAGTATCATCGATTGATTTTTTAAATATTCGAAATAATAGTTTGTTGACCTGTTGAATTTTTTGTTCGAAATCATAATATTATAAATATTTTTAATGTCAGACATGTCAGAAGCTGAAGAGGAGGAAAACATGGGATCGATAGGCAGTTTTTTTTCTTTTCATTCACACACTGCATCTTAAAACGATATTCATGCACACTTATTTGTTTTCATCAACACAACCTAACAAACACAGAGATGCTTGCAAACATTTAAAATTCAATGCACGTGTATTTATAATTAATTTGTCAAAATGTATAGTCCGGTGAACGAGCGATGTGCATTTTGGTTCTGCAAAAGGAAACATTTGAATTTGCAGTACCCCACAATTTGCATGCATGCAAAAAGCATGCACTTTAACACGACCTCATTGCAATTCGCTTGATATTAAAACTCTTCTCAGCCATGCTAGAAAATAATTGAACATGGTTGAAATAATTAAAAACGTCGATAATAAAAAAAACATTTATTACGAAACACTCGACAAATCAGCCGTCCTAATCCCAGCGTTCGACGGGCTGACCGCCTACGTGGATGGCTACACCGTGGACGCGAGGAAGGGCGAGGATTATTACACGATCGACGTCAAGAAGGAGGAGAAGTAGGAAATGTTACCCCTTCATACGTGTAATTGATTTTAATGGAGAAATTAAACAAATGGCTTTCTTTCTAGTGTTATTTTACTTGTTTTTTTTTAAATTATTAAGGAGAATTTAAAAATTTAAAAAATTATATCTTAACATAACTGGTAAGTTATGAGATGGACAAACCATAGTCAGAAACCACTATGGCTCAACTAAATTGAAGAGATCTAAAAAAATAAATATTTAAAACTATAATACATTTAACTACGTTGAAATTATTCAGCTTGTAAGGTGGTGTTGAACTGACTATTATAAAAGAAAGCATGCAGATAAAAGACACTGACAAACCGACATTCAAATACAACGTCTCATTCCAAATCTAATTGGGCCATTCATAAATTAATATAATTAATTTCTATTGAAATAACGTTTTGAAATAATTTTTTTAGTTTGATTTTCTGTTTTATTCAGCAGTTATATAACATTAATTAATAAACCATTAACTAATAGATAATTAATTTTGTTTGCATTAAACTTTATTACAATTGTTAAGGCAACTTTTTTTCAGCTTTTTATTGTAGTTTTTATTAAGGTCCCAACTTATTGAACGATTTCATTGCACAATAACCAACGTACAACCGCCACGAAGATGTTTAGCGGTCGAGGTTAAGAGCATGCAATCCATCCCAGTCTGGTCGATGGATCCTACGTTCAGGGCAGACAAGCGATGGAGATGCGAGTGCGCCAACAGCCCACCCGACCGCTGGAAGGACGCTGACACTGACCCTCTCACTATGACCAGAGCTTTTTTAGGTCTGAGTGCTTTTAATTTATTGGTTAATGTTCAGTTGAGCGTAATTCATACTTTCGAATGGTGCCTGAGTAGGATCAACATTTCTGTCAATACCTGCTGGTCAAAAAAAATTCCAATTACTGATTTCAATTTCTGAGTTTAACAATTTATTTCTAAACTTTGATCACAACAAAAAAGTTTGCTGGTTTAGAAAAAACCATTACCAATTTAAAAAAACATCGAGTTCAGTTGATTATATATTTTTTTAATATATTTAATATTTCGATTTAAAAAATACTGAAAAATAATTATTTAAACGATAACAATGTTAAAAAATAATCGCTTGCAAGCAGTGGCTACAAACGCAAACTTCTTTTCTTGAGGTGTGCAGCTCTAAACATGAACCACTAATCTTTAGAAATATTTTTCGAGGCAACTCCTCACACACTATGCTGATGCCTGTTTTTATAAATATATGTCGGATCAACCTGTCTATCTCATTAAGCTTATTTTTGAAGATGAGTACATAAACTAAGATGAGCTGTCGCACGATGCTCTGGTCCCGGCGGTCGTACATGATGGGCTACTGATCTGTATGTTGCTGAGTGGTTGAATGAGGTGATTTAATGGTAAAAAATAAATTTAGAAAATTTGTTACAATTTAATTTTAATTAACGCATTGTTATGGATGGGAAAGTTGTTTCGACTCTAAGTTCTTTGAGAGTTCTAACTAGGGCTGCTGCCAAAACCCGACTCTTTATGTTGAATTAATATTTTGGTCTTATGAAAATTAATTTACAATTTTTATATAAGATAAAAGTAATACAAATTACTTGCTGATTACTGCACTTAAATAATATAACGAAACTTTTGCATTTAGTATTTTCATACTATAAACATATATATATATATATATATATATATATATATATATATATATATATATATATATATATATATATATATATATTAATATATATATATATATATACATATTATCATTGTCTTATTATGCCTTTCTGCATTGAATTATATTTTCGGCAATAAATAATGGTAAAAATAAAGAATACAAAATAGTTAAATAAGACAAATTTGGTTTATTGTTTATAAAAAATTTGAAAAATATTGAATAAGAAGATCTTTTTGATGGTAATTTGCAAACCTATCTCGATCGTGCTTGACGAAGGACTGTGGGCGGAGCACGCTGAATTTCCGAGAGTGCCGAACACGGTCAGCGTGTCAGTCGGATGTCCACTCGAGGACGAGGGCGTAAGACTCTACTGCAGGATTGATAAGAGAAGTTAGTCAACGGTTTTGTTTCACTGTTTAGTTTTTTGTAATTATTTTTTGGAGATATCACCAATGCACCTGAGTATGCGGGGATCCGTGCACCTCATGCGTTGGAAGTGGAAGCAACATTTTTTCGCACTGCAACACACGACCACGCAGGCCAAGATTGCTGTTAAGTCATTAGCAGATTTTATTGGCAGAATTCAACATTGTATTCAATTTTATGTAGAATCATTTATTAATCATTCATCTATTTATACGATTGAATTAATTGTTAAATCTTTCATTCTGAAAGTTTAAATTCTAAAAATGATTACCTCAGGAAGACCCATTCCTAAGCTGGGCGAGGAAGATAGAGAATGTATGCAAAATTGTTTTCAGATTTTAATAATTAAATGATAATGCTGATGTTGTTGTTATTATTAATAATTATGAATAATATTGACAATTAAATATGAAACTGGATTTTGAAAGAAGTCACTTTTTAAAAGTAATTATTTGAAATTAAAAATGTTATCTATTTAAAAAATTTTGTCTTGATTGAAAAAAAACTTATGATTTAACGCATTTTAAAATAAAGGCAACAAATAATGTATGCTATAAGTAAACTTTCTTAACATTGTTAACATCGTATGTAATTATATTCTCTTCAAACGAACCAGACATAGCAATCAGTGCCGTGAACGGTCATTTGAATGGGCTGACCGTCAACAGTGAGTTAATATCTGGACCAACGGAACTCGCGATCAGTCATGTTACACATTTCAACTTCACAGCAAAATCTCTAACTTCCTTCGTAGCTGTCTCGCTGAGCCTCATCAACCAGAACGATTCGGCTGCTCTGCTGATGGCGGGAACCAAGTCGGTTGATGACTGACTGCCATTTGTTGATTGTTCACGTTTTCATCCTACAGTTATTTGTTGAACTCATTTTAAGTTTTTAATAGTTAAATGAAGTTAGTTTTCAGTTAGTGATCGATTTTTTTCAACGTATGAATAATTGAGTCATAAGTCAATACATCAATTACCAGGAAGTAATGTCTGTAAAAAAATATTTTGTGACGATGAAAACTTTTTTAAATGATTTAATTAAAAAAGTAAATAATTAAACAAAATGACAAACAAATATACAGACATACAAACAAACAAACAAACAAAAGAATAACGGCCTGGACTGGAACGCAGTGGCGGTGCAGCTCTGATAACATACCGAAATGTTGGAACGTGTCTGACTGTCCTCATGTAACTGATATGCCCTGGGCTAGGGTAATCATGATGATGACAACGACGATGATGATAATGATGATGATGGTAATGATAACAATTTTTATGATGGTGGCGATAAAAAAGAAGCAAATAATGATAATGCAACTTTCAGAGTTTTATAATAAATTTTTAACTTGTTTCTGTTTTTTATATCCTTGGCATCCGTTTTTATTTAAACCTTTCATAACTTTAATGCTTCAAATGATTGGCACACGCTTTTCAGTTATTTCCACGATTTCTCTTTTCTGCAACCTACTGAAAAACGTCTCGACGCTTAATTTTCATTTTTCCACTTAAACACAATCTTTTATTGCTTACACTTATTTTTTCATTCATCAATTGTTACAAATTCACACTGACTCATGGTGACGACAAATACACACATGCACACACACATGCACACACACGTACACACATGCACGCAGATACAAGGTTTCAACAACAAATCCTCGAAATTAACACCGAAACTAGTTGAAGGAATTTCCTCGTTTGCCATTTTCATAAGCAGCCTGAAGCTGGTAGAGAACGCTGGTGGTAAATCGGGGGCTGGCTTAATGGCCTGCAGATGTGAAGGGATGGGTATGCAGTTTTCGCTTGCTTGCTGGTGTTCATGCAAAATTTGTTGGTAATCTATTAACACAGATTCAACCATCATTGCTATTTGATAATCAAGTTCACCCATCCAAACATTCCCTTATTTTGAAAAAAATCATTTATCCTTACTAAACTTCGTTCTGAAGTATCAACGACGCATAAACACGCAGCGTACGTGAACACGCGCGCGAAATCACTCATAGACGGGAATCGTCTTGCATTCGAACCACGTCACAGCCAGCCAGCCAACCAGCCAACAAACCAACAAACCAACCAAACAACCAACCAACCAATCTACCATCAACCATCCAACCAAACAACTGTGACCAGGCACCTGCAGCATTTCTGCCATTGAAATAATTTTTATTAACTTTGTTTATGATGGTCATCATTGTTAGTTTTTCCTATTACATCAAAACGAATGCAGACGTTGATAAATCAAGTGAGCTGAAACCAAACTACGACAGGAATTATGAATGTAAATTTGTCATTGTTTGGCTTGTTTTATTTCGTTATATAAGATGGCTCCACCATATTAAAAAATTAAAATTTTACACCCACACACACACCACACACACACACACGCACGCACGCACGAAACTTTAAACATTACAGTGGTGGCCATCACAGCGAGTTTGACCATTGAGGAAGTGTTGGTGGACGGTGTGGCGAAGGAGTTACGAAACAGAAATAAGTGGGATATCGCTGATTACATCGTTGTTTCAAAAAAGGTGCTTATAATTATTACAAAAATGTAATGTTTCAATGTCAAGTGATTTTATATATCTTTCATTTCATTTTTTTTTATTGACCATCTTGTTCAACTTTAAAAACTTTGTGACATCTGGAATATAAAATCTTATTGTTGATTGTTGTTAGAATTGTAAAACAACCATTTTATATCCTTTTTAAACCTCCTGAATATAACCGTCACGAAATGCGAACCAGGCGAAGGTGATGGCGGTGCACATCAAAGGAAGGAAGGTTTACCCCATGCTGATGGTCCAGAGCAGCAACAAGAGGTTGTCATCCTTATATCACTTTTTTGAGCCATCGTAAACATTTTTGTTAACGTATGTGATGTTGAGGGAGTGTTATAATCGGCGATACTCTACCTTTTTTCATCAAATTTACAATATATATATATATATATTATATTATATATATATATATATATATATATATATATATATATATATATATATATATATTAAGACTGTCAGAAATGCAATTATTGATGATAATCAGAGCATGGTCGGCGTTAGTTAATTTCCAATTTAACCTTTAGATTTTTCTAACGGTTGTCCGTAAGTCATTTTCAAATTTCTTTAGTTCAAAACCAAATTTTTTGTTTATTTTAAGCATGATAGAACAAAAAAGCTTTTTTCGGTAATCCTATACCATCTTCGGTGTTCAAACAAATATGTTGTGTATGAGCCCATATGCTCATATATATATATATATATATATATATATATATATATATATATATATATATATATATATATATATATATACTGTGTCTCTAGTTTACTTTGTTGATTCCTTGTTTGTTTAAAGTGAATACTTAAGGCTCATTTAATTAGTTTTACAATTTTCAACTTCGTTAAATATAACACTTTTACATGTTTTCAAATATCGATGACTCTTCTTTTTCTAAATTTATTGATAGGTAGAAATCCAATTACTCGTTGCTGAATATTTATTATCGTATATCTTTGTTCTATGAGTATTGATTCGGCTAGTCGTAAATTATAATGGTTGTTATTGTAATGTAAGATTTCAATATTGTGGTCCAAGATTTGTCTAGTTATTTTAGTTTTGTGTTTCTCTTTCATGTGATTCTTTATAGCGTTTGTACCAGTTTGTACTTGCATCGTGAGCCTTATCGTTATACCAATATATTCAGTATTATGGTGCCAACAATCATCAATATTACATTTGAACAAATATATTAGATGGCTATGATCCATTATCGATTCTGGTATACTAGTGCAGTTGTTTTTCATCACAAGAGATGACGTTCTTTGGTTGGAGTAAAATATTCGAGTTTAATACTATCGTTTTCGTTGGTTGCTTGGACGTTATTTTTTATAATTTTTTTCATGATTTTTTCATCCTGTTCAAAAGCGTTTGACATGTGATTCTTATAATATATTACTGTTATTTTTGTTACTATTGTTGGTTGCATTGTTCTTGTTGCTGATGTTGTTCTTTGCGTTCTATTATTTTCTGGATCATAGAATTTTTATATCCATTATTAATGAGTAGTTTAGTGATTCTATTTAGTTCTGTTCTTTTGCCTTCTACATCAGAAGAGTGCGTGTAGGCTCGGTTTACAAAGGCAGAAATCACGCTCTCCAGATATGTTTGACAACATTCACTATTGCCATTCAGGCATAAACCTTTGTATGCTTCATTGGTGCATACTGAGGTTTTAAATTCATTTTGTACATTTTGTATTAGTAGGTCTAGAAATGGTAGTTTGTTGTCAGTTAATTTTTCTCTTATAAACTTTAATTTCGACGAGTTTATTTGTTGTAGAAGTTTTGCTATTTGATCATCATATATATATATATATATATATATATATATATATATATATATATATATATATATATATATATATATATATATATATATATATATATATATATATATATATATATATATATATATATATATATATATATATATATATATATATATATATATATATATATATATATATATATATATATATATATATATATATATATATATATATATATATATATATATATATATAG